ACTGAAAGGCTCGCTGCAAGGCAAGGCGTAGTTCATCCACAAGGTAAGTGCGAAAGTAAGGCAAAAGTCAGGCATTATGTTTTCTTTTTGTTTTCTTTAGACTTTCGATCTACATTTTTGGTTTTTAACATCTCTAGATGCCTTTTTCGAGATGGAGATTTATGTTTAGATAATGCAAAATGCCATCAAAACACCCGAAGCTATCTATTAGAGTGTGTTCCTCTCGAGTAATGCGTTTTCTAAAAGGCACCTATTTGAGAAAACCACAATCGACCACAAATGGAAAAAAGATCTAATTGTGTCAATCAAAGCGCTGAAGACGTCCTACGGTGGAGGAGATCCAGTCACTTCTGGTGAAGATGCGCTGGAAATTGATAAGATAGGAAGCCGATTTGAGGAACTGCTGTACTTGAGCGAAGATGAAAGTGAGCAAGAGGAAGAATTATAGATTAACAAATTATTTTTATTGCTTTTTGTGCTTCTTATTTTGTTTTTAAACTTATCTGCAATTAAAACTCAATCGATCTATGCAGACTGTGTTGAGGTGTCTGATGAGTGACGATCTTGTTTTTCTCCAAGCCTTGCAGTGTCTCCAAAAATTAGTAAACCCATCAAATCGCTCTAGCCGGGTGATTTTTATTCTTTTTATAATAAAATCAGCGATTTTAAAATAAAAAAAACAGGTGGTTGCCGTAAAAAATATTTTATCGTCACCCGGCCGCGATTAATACCCCCCTTTAAACATTTTTGGGACTTGCACGGCACTCTTTAAAGGGAACTCTCACAGGCACTCACAGGTTAGCCGAGTGGCCGAGTGGTTAGGAGCGCGACCTGGTACTCGAGTGTCGCTGGTTCGGCTCCACCCCAAAAGTTTTTCTTTTTTGCAAAACCACATAATGTGCGTTCTATTTTTTCGCTTTTCAAAGTTTATTCTGATTTTTTAACCATAAAAGGTGAGGATAACAAAACTTTATTTAAAACTAATAAACCACAAACAATTCAACAACGGTGGAAAGATTCGACAAAATGAAGGAAGCAGAATATATTCAGACAATAAGCACAACGAATGTACGGCATATTATCGCAATTTATCTTATTACATGCACCAATCAAATCAGCAAAAAGTTGCTGGTGTCACATAATGAGGAAGTACATCATCAATATAATGAGCGCTTTTCCAGGCTTCGAGCATGCATGAGACAAAACGTGGCGCCCGGAACTGGTGGTAGATCTGACTGATCATCTTCAGGATAGAATCGCGTTGGCTCACTTGGAAGTCGATTTTGAGGCAATGACGTGTGCGGTCAACTTTTTCACAAACGACTTGAAGAGCCGGAAGAAATGAACATCCAACGGTTGAATCTGCGACGTCGCTTCAGGTGGAATGCGTTTCAAAATGAGCTCCTCGCCAGCTGGGACCGTTGCTTGAATAGAGGCTTGATCACGAAATGAAGTCCAGGAGTCGACGAGAAGCATCAGTTTAGATGGCATAGCTGGACAGCAGACGATATCCCGGAACCACTTGAGCATCAGCTCCTTGGTCATGATATGGGACTTGGCTGCCTCCACCATCAAGTTGTCGGTTTGAAAGATCCCTCATTGTGGAAAACGACTATCTTTCTCCTGCATCACGATAAAGAGTTTGTCACCGAGTCGTCCATCCGCGTAGATCAGGGGCATCATGGTAAACGAGTGAGATGTTGCCGACACACTTTGAACGACGCGGATGACTTTCTCACCTTTTATGGTAAAAAATCAGAATAAACTTTGAAAAGCGAAAAAATAGAACGCACATTATGTGGTTTTGCAAAAAAGGAAAAACTTTTGGGGTGGAGCCGAACCAGCGACACTCGGAGTACCAGGTCGCGCTCCTAACCACTCGGCCACTGGCTAACCTGTGAGAGTGCCTGTGAGAGTTCCCTTTGAAGAGTGCCGTGCAAGTCCCAAAAATGTTTAAGCTTGCTACTCTGAACTTTGAAACCTTATATTTCAGTTAGTTCTGGCATTTAGCAGCTAAAAATTTCAGAAAATTCTTCTTTGTGATGATCTTTCCCCTGTAATTTTGGAGTCGATCTGAGGTGGTAAGTAGTTGTAGTTCCCTCGTTAGCTGTTGTGAGCTCCTTAGCTGTTGTGAGCTCCTTAGCTGTTGTGAGCTCCTTAGCTGTTGTGAGCTCCTTAGCTGTTGTGAGCTCCTTAGCTGTTGTGAGCTCCTTAGCTGTTGTGAGCTCCTTAGCTGTTGTGAGCTCCTTAGCTGTTGTGAGCTCTTTAGCTGTTGTGAGCTCCTTAGCTGTTGTGAGCTCCTTAGCTGTTGTGAGCTCCTTAGCTGTTATGTTTAAAATCTAATCAATATCTTTGAACATTACCGTAGTAAGACAAAAACAATGACTTTGCAGCATTCTTAGTTTAAATGAAGTTTAAAATGAATGAATCTGATTTTCATTCCGAAAAAAGCAATTCTTTAGTCGATCATGCCTACAAACGACCGATGACGATGAATTGTGGGCACTCGGTTTGCGAGGATTGCTCCAATAAGGGGATGGGCACTATGTGAGTTGGGAAGGGTATCGAGATCTTTCATTGAATACCTTTAATTACCGTATATCGAGTGAAAGGCTGCGTCTTCTAAAAGCATCTATTCTAAAAGAAAACTAATCTAATCTAATCAAAGTTAATCAAAGCTAATCAAGCATCAAGGCTAGAGGTGTCCGGAAGCAGAGATGATTATCCGGAATCACAGATGATTATCCGAATCAGAGATGATTATCTGAATCACAGATGATTATCTGGAATCACAGATGATTATCCGGAATCATCAGATGATTATCCGGAATCACAGATGATTATCCGGAATCAGAGATGATTATCTGGAATCACAGATGATTATCCGGAATCACAGATGATTATCCGGAACCAGAGATGATTATCCGGAATCACAGATGATTATCGGGAATCACAGATGATTATCCGGAATCACAGGTGATTATCCGGAATCAGAGATGATTATCCGGAATCACAGGTGATTATCTGGAATCACAGATGATTATCCGGAATCACAGGTGATTATCCGGAACCAGAGATGATTATCCGAATCACAGATGATTATCGGGAATCACAGATAATTATCCGGAATCACAGGTGATTATCCGGAATCAGAGATGATTATCCGGAATCACAGGTGATTATCTGGAATCACAGATGATTATCCGGAATCACAGATGATTATCGCGCTTCATTTGTCGTTTTTTACCGTACTTTTGCCATACCGTACTTTTACATACCGTACTTTACCATACTGTACTTACCATACCGTACTTTAGGTAAACCCATTTCCTAAACCACTCGACTCTACGTAATTTTTTTTTTTCATTTTCTGCTAACAATTTGATGATAAAAATCGTATAAACGGGGAGAAAGGACCTTTATTAAGAAATTTTTCAACCAAAAATGAAAATTAGCATGTAAGATCGGGATTTGAATAGTTTTTTTAAGGCTCAAGCTTATTACCGGTTCAAGCTGGTTCAAGCTTCAACACTCCTGCCTGTTCAACTATTACCGGAAACAATTGCTTTTCTTCTCACTCTCATGCTATCCTCAATTCCAAATTTCCAGGAAAACCCCCCGACATGAAGCATCGTTAATCACAACAAGAGCCATCAATTCTCTCTTTGGGTAAAAATTTTTCTTTTCTTTTCAGCGAATCCGGTTTTTAGGAGCAATCGAGCAATTCGCGCAACAAAAGGCTGAACAGCTGAGGTTGAGGGCGAGACAGAGCGCTCAGGTGGGAATGGGGATACCTTGTCCAAAATCTTGAACGATGAAAATCCAAAAGCTTGAAAGGATGAAATCAAGAGCTTGAAAGATCAAGTTGAAATCTTGAAAAGATCAAATCAAAATCTTGACACTAGAATTTCTCAATCCCTCAAATTTCTCAATATCAAATATCAAAATAAAAGATCAATGCGCTAAAGTTGAAAGTTTAACTTTTTACTTTCCGAAAAGGTGGACAATTTGGAAAGTTAATGTTGGAAAGTTACGTATTGAATGCCATAATGACAATCTTGAAGAAAGCGGAAAACGATTGCTTTACTTTATTTTACTTATTTTTATTGCATTAATCTTTCACAGGCTCTTCCTTTAGATTTTGTCGAATTTACTAAATTTTGAGCTAGAGTAGAAGAAATCAAGAGCTGATTGTAATGCGTCAACTTTTTAGCTAAATAGTTCCCTTTCAGACTCGAGAACAAATGTAACATCGGGAACTCTCGACGAGCTGAAGGAATTTTTTAGGGGACCCTAAAATTGGAGAGTGAGGCAATGCAAAGGCAAAGGGTAAAAGGAAAGAAAAGAAAACGTTCGCAATTTCAAATGTTTTCTATTTTAGGCTCAAGAGACGCTTGCAGCAATCCATTACCTTCAAAACCAAGTTCACCAGCAAGTGGAATCAGAGACAAATCACGGATCTCAATGTCAGATCATTGCGCTACAGTAAGTTTTCGAAGATAAACAAGTTATAGCAGGATTCGAAGATAAACAAGTTATAGCAGGATTTAAAGTTCAAGTGAATTGTGAATAAAGTTCACAATGTGGTACAAAAATCAAAAAAAGCACAACTTGTAAGCCCTAATTGTAGGGCAAAATCCATGCTATAGAAAAAGAATCAAAATTCTGGCCCGGGATTGAACCCTCGACCTCTCGACTAAGATCCAGGGACTCTAGAGGATTTTCCTAAAGTGTACGTGGAAATTGTTCTAAGGTACGATTGGTCGAACTTTCCCGGAATCGCTTGAGCCGGGCGAGAATCAGAGCAAGGATCGCCGAGTGGAGGAGTTGGAAGTAAATAAATACTTTCGGATGTAATTATTTTGATCAATTCGAACATTTCTTACTATACAAAATCTATTTTACAGGCTAAAATCCTGGAAATGCAACACAAGCAACAGCAGCCACAAACGCCGAGAGTCGATCCAGAGTGATGGAGGGCAAAAATTGCCGAGCTTGAGCGAAAGTTGGAGAGTTCGATGCAAATAAGCGGTGTAAGGGGAAATCAAAGATGAAAATAAGCTATATTTTAGGATATTCAGTTAACCGGATGAAGGTTTTTGTCATCTAAAACCAGGAATTTGAGTAAATCAACTAACAAAGTTTTCCTATTCTGCTTCTTTTAAATGAATGTTTAGCAAAAGCAAAATTGTTGAGTTAGATAGCTATAATTTATCTATATGTCGAGCCGTTTACGAAATTCAGCCGTTTACGAATGATTCCTCAACGGCTGAATTTCGTAAACGGCTACGACATACAGGGTGCGCCAAAAAGTTCCCGTACTTGTATTTTCTGCATTTTTGGTAATCTTAGATAAAAGATACGATTTTAAAAGTAAGAAATTCGAATTCCTCGCGAAAAACTGATTTAGAAAACGTTTCTGGTTAATTTATAAGTGCAACACTATTTAAGACAAGTGATTGAGAAGAGGGTCCGCTCAGGGGCGCTTTTGGTCGCACAGTTGCAGGGCACAGTTACAGGGCAGTAGATATCTATAAATAATCAAATCTATATCCTACAAGACTTATCCAGCCTTTATTTAGCGTACAATGAACTGGAAAGCGGCTTTTATTCGCGGTTTGCCCGAGGCGCCAAAGAGGAAACAAATCATGCATCTCGTTCGACTTGTCAATATCGATCCGAAAAGGAGGATGTTAGGTGGGAAATTCTATGGATTCTATGGATTCTATGGATTCTATAGATCTATAGATTCAATAGATTTGATAGATAGCAATCAAATTCATCTAGAAATCCTATTCAAAAGCATTCTAGAATCCAGCTCTACACACCGGCCACTCGCGGCACTTGTTTAGTTACTTTTTCCACAAAGGAATCAGCAACGAAAGTGGGTTTGAAAAGAGCAATTACAGAATTCAATAAAGTATTCAATAAAGCAATTGATTAACTCAAAAATAGTCTTCAAAAGTTAACTCAATAATCCGAATGGATATCTTTTAGTTCATCAAAAATTTCGATGGCCAAGAGTTTCTCTCAACCGGAAAAAAGCTTAAAGTCGAACAAGCAAGCTTTGATTCGAGGAAACAAGCAGCTGATGGTTTTACAAATTTCCATTTAAAGGTTTCTTTTTTGTATTTAAGGTCAAGCGAAAGGCACTCCGGCAGCCGCGCCAACTTTTGTCGCCGACAAGAAAAAGGTTTTCATTCGTGGATTGCCCCGCCAATGTCACACCGGCTGATGTGACGAAGTGGATCTTCGAGGACAGCAAGAAACTGCTGGGCAACAGGTACTATAGTACTATGGTTTCTAAGCCTCAGCTACCGTATTCAGTGGCTTATAGACAGTTGACCCTAGCTACTGTAGCTTCACTAACGTATCCAGCTTTCTCATTATCTACCGTACCCAGCTACCGTACTCACAATCAATTTCGTCCTAGTATCATAGATAATCTACTGTAATAACCCACCGCCATAATGACGGTGCGGAGCGTTGCGTAGTCTAGCTATGAACGAGTTTTTCTCGACACTGGTTTATGCTATATGCAGGCTTTGGTATCAAAAAATAGCTGAAATTCAGCGCTATTTTTTGATACCAAAGACGAATTTACGGTAGCTTTATGTAAAGTTTAGTGTCACTGTAAAGTTGGCCGGTCCTGTTGCCACCTGTATAGCCATGTTTTATATGGTACATGTGAATGTTATCCCCGCAAAGTTGATGAAGAAGGGAATCGGCGCATGTCTCCCGAAGATAAGAACTCCAATCGATCGTTAATTTGTTGCACATTCCCAATTTTGGCCTTCGCAAAATTTCATCAATGTCATCTCTTTCGTCCAGCAGTAAATAAAGCGAATAACATTTGGATAGCATAGAATAAAGGCTCTACAAGATGACAAACAATTATGGGAGCACCTGATAAATAATGTAATTTTAGCCGGAAGTTTAAAAAGTAGCTACCGTAAATACTGTAATAGTACCCCACCGCCATAATGAGGGTGTGGAGCGTTGCGTAGTCTAGCTTTTGAACGAGTGTTTATCGACACTGGTTTAAGCTACAATGCAGGCTTTGGTATCAAAAAATAGCTGAAATTCAGGGCTATTTTTGATACCAAATAAATTTACTGATAGCTATATGTAAAGTTTAGTGTCACTGTAAAGTTGGCCGGTCCTGTTGCCACCTGTATCGCCATGTTTCAAGATGAGGCAAGCGCTAAGAAGGTGGGGAAATTAAAATAGAAATAGAATTCTAGTAGATATGATATTATATTTGATTCTAATCTTTAGATCCTTGACAAATGGAACGGGAAACTGTATCCGGGCACTTCGAAAGAGTTGAGTGTTGATTATTGGAAGGTTTTAGAGGGATCCACCTCAAAGAATGAGCCGAAAAGCCAAAAGAAAGGTTTGAGGAAAATTCAATCAATGCAAATTTTAAAAAGTAACTATTTAAGCTGAGAACAATGAGAAAAACGAGCAGAAATTGAAGCCTCAAAATCAACAAACACAAAAGGGCCAACAAAAGTCTGAAATGCAAGTAAGAGACTCGACTTTTCGCTTTTCTAAAACGTTTCAGCTTTTGAAAACTACTGTAACTATCACAGATTATATTCTTTATTAAGATTATACCGTAATTATTCTAATAGCTTTTATTTTTTAATGTAAAAGCGTCAGTTATTTCCCTTTCAGCTCGTCTAAAAACGTTCATAGGCAAAAAGATTTACTTAACCAAGGATCAAAATGAAAAGAAATCTTTGAGGATCATTTATCTGAAAAAAAGATTAAAGAAATATTGATTTTGAAGAGAGTTATGAACAATTAATGAACAATTAATGCAAATTAATTCCAAGGTAAAGAAATTTCTCACGCTAAAACATTCTGAGCCTTCTTCGGTGGACCGAACCGTCCCAGGGGCCAGACGGTTTTCGTCCACCGGTGAACTCAATCTTCATTTTGATTCTTTACTTAACACGTCCCGAATGTGTTAAGTTAAGCATCAAAATGAAGAGAAATGTTTAAGGATCATTTTTCTAGAAATTGTTTGAAAAAATATTGACTTTAGAGTAAGTTATGAAACTTTGAATGGAAATTAGTTCAAATTGAATGCAATTTCCCTAGAGCATCGATCCGGTCCCGGGAAATTTCTCATCCTAAAACTTTCTGAATTTTCTTCAAACTCAAGATTTCTTTAATCTTTTTTCAGATAAATGATCTGTAAACATTTCTCTTCATTTTGATTCTTAGCTTAAGTAAATCTTTTGGTTGATGAGACGAATAGGAAAGGAAAACAGAGACGAATAAGTTGATGAAAAGCAAGCCAAGACTCTGCTTAACACATTCACGAGGTTTTTCCTTTGACTTTTGCGTCAGTTATTTCCCTTTCAGCTCGTCTAAAAACGTTCACAGGCAAAAGATTTACTTAAGTAACGAGTGAAAATGAAGAGAAATGTTTGAGGATCATTTTTCTGGAAATTGTTTGTAAAAAATATTGACTTTAGAGTAAGTTATGAAGCTTTGAATGGAAATTAATTCAAATTGAATGCAATTTCCCCAGATCATCGATCCGGTCCCGGAAATTTCTCATCCTAAAACATTCAGAACTTTCTTCAAACTCATTATTTCTTTAATCTGTTTTCAGATAAATGATCTGTAAACATTTCTCTTCATTTTCACTCTTTAATTAAGTAACTCTTTTGCCTGTGAACGTTTTTAGACGAGCTGAAAGGAAATAACTGAGGCAAAAGTCAAAGAAAAACCTCGTGAACGTGTTAAGCAAAGGCTTGACTTGCTTTTCATCAACCTATTCGTCTCTTTCAATCGAATAACTCAATAGTTTTTGAGATTTTCATCTAAAACTTCAACATTTAGGCTTAAATGATCAAATTTTCTCTCAGAAAAGCCTTCCCGGAAACATTGTTTTCCTTCGAAATCTCCCCTTGGAGACAACGGAGAGCGATCTTGTGGTTATGTTTCATCAAAGAGCACAAATAGCTCAAAATCCTGGAGATCGACGTAATAAGTGAGTTTTTGTCGAAAAAAAGTGGCTTTTTTGACTCGTTTCAAAGCAAAAATTCTTCTAGAATCGATTTTCAAGCGGCTGGCGCGAATGCAAAGTTTAAATTCGCGAAAATCACTTTTGTGACTGATCAGGACGCTCAAAAGGTGGATTTTCATTTAAAATAAACAAGAATAGATTGATAATTTTCGATTTCATAAATGAAATTGTAAAGTTCGTTTTCAGATTGTTCGCGAATTTGACGGAAAAAAGTTCCCGAATAGCGACCGAGTGATGGGCGCCGCAATTTTGTAAGAAAGAATTTTGAGGGGAAATTTTAAAGAAAACTATAACTTTAACTAGATCTAAAATATTATTATCTTATAATATATTATCTTATAATCAATTTTACATGTTATAAATCAATTTTGAATCAATTTCAAATCAATTTCAGTGGCCAGAAGAAGGCCGAGAAAGCGGCAGGCCCGTCCGGTGGTCAAAACAAGAAAAATAATCAAACGGCTGTACGTTTTACATTATAAATCTTTTATTTATATGCTAATCTAGTTTAACAATCGATTTTTAATCGGTTTTGATCGATTTTGATCGATTTTGAGCCTTTTTTCAGACGAATATCGTTGTGGTGAAAGGTCTCCCGTTCGAGACAACCGTCAACGATATTGTCGCCAAATTTCATGGGGTTTCCAAAATTCAAATGGACCCTAATGGTTATGAAAGGTGAGCTGAATAACTGTAGTTTATCGAATTTTAGAAAATTTTACTTGCTCTATGCTTAGCAATTCTTTAGGGTAACCCTTCACAAGAATCCGGATGGCACCCCGACTGGACGGGCCACCATCGTTTTCAAAGAGGCTGATGGGGCACAAAAGGTTTGTTATCAGCAATAAAAATGAAATTCATTTAAATACATTTACAATTTTATAGAAAAACACTATTTTTGTAATTAGAAATATCAAAAAAACTTGAATCTTATCATTCGCAACTTTTAATTGAGTGGAAATAACTTTCAAATTTGCCTGAACCCTCAATGAATCACGTTTATCACCAGCCTTTAAAGGGCTTTTTAGAAAAACAGACAACTTTCTCTTTTTTGATTTAGAAACTGCTTTATTTCGATAATGCTTTAAAGGGATCTTTACGGTTAACGGCGAGCAGTAGCAATTATCGGCGGTGACCAATTTTTTGGCCAACTTGCAGCTCATTGTTAAGCACCTTAAACTCGTCAGATCAGGAAGTTTTAATAAGATTTAGATAGCTTAGAACGTCAGCTTTCAGAAACTATTTGTTTTATCAAAAGTTATTAACATAAACTTATATAAAATTGGGCTGCAAGTTGGTCAAAAGCTTGGTCCCCGCCGATAGTCACTACCCCCGCCGTTAACCGTAAAGATCCCTTTAAAGCATTATCGAAAAAAGCAGTTTCTAAATCAAAAAAAGAAAGTTGTCTGTTTTCATAGAATCTCATTGGTACTTTCTCTATAACGAAGTCGGGGATTTGGCTATACGACAGTTTACCCCCAACCAATGACCACCAAAGTGGTTTTTCTGACTGACGCGCGAGCCTAACGACAGGCACAAACCCAAAAAAAGCGCGATACCCATAGGCAGTTGCGACCGGACGGGCACGTGTGCTGCAGGATCTCACGGGCCTCGTCTACGGCGCTGCTGTATGTGCGGAGCCGAAGCCTAGGTAAATAGCAGGCCCGCCACAAGGGAAGCCTTTGAGTTTGAGATAAATAAACTGTCGTTGTAGAATCAAAATAGCAAAAAAGAAGTAAAAACAAGCATATAAAACAAATTTACTGAGTCTAAATAAGGTGCAAAGTAAAGAAATTCCCTCCGCCCGATAAAAATCCCCCTCGCCCGTTATAGGGGAAGCGCCAACTCATTTTTTGATAGATTTGATTATAAGTTATAGCGATCTTGACCTTTCAGAAAGTCTGTCAAAAAGGATGAATCATTCATCGTTTTTTTCACGATCTCTTTTCAACTTCGCTACTGTGAAAAAGAAATCGGATTTTGCTAGAGTAAACCCTAGTGATTTTAGAAATCATTTAAAGTTAAACAAAATAGATTTACATTTTAGAAATTAAAAAATAAAATAAAATAAAATAAAACAAAATAAAATGCAAACTCTTTTCAAAATTAAAACCACTCAGCAAATAAGGAGAAATCGAGAAACCGCGTTTTTACGAAAAAAAAATCAATAGAACTCAATCAACCAATAGATAAATCCAACTTTTACTAGATCTGAGCTGTTTCAAACCCAAGGAAGACCAGGCTAGAAGTGAAATTCAGAGGCCAAAGATAAGGGGAAATCGAGAAACCGCGTTTTTGCCAAAAAATCGCCCATCTACCCACAAAACTAATTAGATTTTTTCGAAAGTACATGAAATTTTAGATATAATAGTTAAATGCTCAGATCGATTGGTTTGGTCGTTTTTTTTTGTAAAACAACGAAACAGACAGACGCACACACCCTCTGGCCTATAATAAGTAGAATTTTGATTTCAGGCCATTTCTGCATCACCTATCGCGTCCGCGTTTTATTTTTTTTAATTTTTCAAGACATTTGGAGATTAAATCCTAACCTTGGGTAATTAAACCGGGCAATGCAGTCTCTGTCGCCCTATCTAAACGCACCGTATTCCAGAGGCCGCTTTTTCCTACGAGACCCACGTACCTTCTCAAACAAAACAGCCTAAAACAGCCGAACAGAAACACAAACAAACTCTCGCTTTATAATATCAACAATTGTGTGTCCAAACAACAATTTATGGATGATAAAAATTAGATTTATTTCTAGATTGTCTTCGAGTTTAACAATGCCGATTTTCAAATTGGACACAGTCGACCTAGAAAGATTCAGGTCGAATTGTTCAATTTCAAGTGAGTTTTTCCTCTAAACATGAAAATTATGATTGCTTAAACCATAATTTATCGATTACAGACTATAATTTACATTTTAAGAAAGTACAACTATTAGGTACATGCATAAGAAATGCGGATCTCAACATTCTCATAAATTCCCAACGATCGAAATCTGATATCGATGAATGTTATAAACTATTTGAAAGTTGTAAATCTCCTCTACAAAATAGGCTAAAACGTGTTTCAATTGATCGAAGCAAATTGAAGAAATTTCGAGGGCGAAATGCGAGTGACCAAAAATCGAGTAAAATCGAATCGAGTCACTTTAGGGACAAGTTTAGTGTGGTCAAAATAGAGTTAGCTTCCCAAAATTAAAGATTTTTTTAAAAGAAGGAGGATAACTAAATATCAATTGATTAAAAAAGCCTAACGGAAATGCATTTACAGAAATTTAGATAGAGCGTAAGTTTAAAACCCTCAAAATTGTCAAAAAAATCGGCTTTTTCAAAGAAAAAGAAAAATATTGCAAAAACAAAGTTTTCCCATGAAATGATTCGAATTCTTAATTATTTTGAATGATATTTGAATGATTTTGAATGAAGGGCGCTCATTTTCCACTATATAATCAAAACCGAACTCTTGTGAAAGTGGGGTTTTCAAAAATTGCCCTTTTTTGGTCACTCGCATTTCGCCCTCGAAATTTCTTCAATGCTTTTGATCAATTGAAACACGTTTTAGCCTATTTTGTAGAGGGGAGATTTACAACTTTCAAATAGTTTATAACATTCATCGATATCAGGTTTCTATCGTTGGAAATTTATGAAAATGTTTAGATCAGCATTTCTTATGCATGAAGTATTGTTTTTCGTAGGAGAAAATGCAAAATTTTGTTTGTTTCCCGTACCATTTATCTGCTTTTATTGCAATCCCTCTGTATCCCTTTGTTTTCTAGAAATATCAATCAACAACAAGCCGGTCAACCCTCTCAGAATAATCCCAAAAAGATAACAACTCCATCGACTCCAAATCAGCCAGCATATGGATATGTTGAGATGGCAATGGATGCGCTGGATGCGGCGGAGAAGATTTCGACAATCTACGCGAATTTTAAGGCTCCACAGCCACCTCAACAGCAGCAGAAAAAGCAAAAAGTGAAAAATTTGATTGAATTTGAGATCAAAATCAAATTAGCCCGCGAAGCAGCAGACGTCCCGTCCTCAACAGCCTCAGCACCTTCACCAAATGAGTCCCGCAACCTCGTATCAGCCACAACAAGTAGTTTTTCATCATCGTTAAGCCTTAAAGAAATGTAAAGTTCATTTTTGTATTCAAGATTGAATCAGCAAAGGTCTAATAAAGTAAGAAAACTATCAAATTGTTAGACTGTTAGACTGTTAGACAAATTGCTAGATCAAATTAGACTCCTCAATCTCCTCGATCATCAAAACAACAGCAGAAAGAGCAAAATGATGGAGAATGTTCAATTCAATAGGTAATTGCTTGAGTTGCTTTTGAATTGTAGATCTTTAAATAATTGCTAACTTAGAGAGCTTAGAAAGCCAGCTTTCTCTCTAATAATTGCTTTCAATTGTAAATCTAAGCATGTTACATGTTCTGTAATTATTGAACTCATCGATTTTATTTTTTAATATGCTTTTAAAGCTTTGGTCAAGCTTAATAGCGAAATTTAACTGTGCTTTGAGTCCAACATTTGTGTCCAACATTTGAGTCCAACATTTGAGTCCAACATTTGAGTCCAACTTCTCCATTCATGCGCGCTCAACTTTCATTCACTATCGTTAGATAGTGAACTTTGTGTGCTTTCTCTACCCAAGCTGTACTTTGAGCTCAACTGGTCATAATTTCACACACATTTGAAGCAAGTGGATCAGTTTCGTCATGAGAAAACGTTAAATTGAAGTGCGCTAGCTTAACGTTTCATCGTTTGATAGTGAACTTTGTGTGCTTTCTCTACCCAAGCTGTACTTTGAGCTCAAAAATCGAAACAAAACCCTTCTAGCACAGTGAATCTTTTCATTTTCTAGTTGGCAATAGGAAAAATCGGAAAATTGAAACGTTGAGTGCATCAGTAAGGATGCGTTTCCATTTTCGAGCACAAAAAGCACCTTTGGACAGTTCAGCGATGTTTTAAACAAATGCAAATAAATCGCAATTACATTGTAAGAAATATATTGATACTTTGACCTTTATAATTTCTTTCTTGTCTCGGTGTGCTTCAATGGTAGATGTCTTGAAAACGCACAATTTAGCAATATCAAAACTTTCCCTTATTAGGGCAAACTTCGCTCAAACTGGAGCAACCTGGCACTATCACAATTACTTCAACACTTGCGTGTGAAAAAAAGGATGAATAGAAAAGGGAGCTCACTCAAAACTGACTCAAAACAAAGCTTAAATAATGGTTTTTTTAAGTACACAAGCTACTCCAAAGCGGACAACTGAATATCGTCTAGTGGCTGATTACGGTAGTTTATCCATCAACTTTGAATTTTAACTTTGCCCGAATTAGCCGAATACTTTAAATATGATCCGAGCACAATTTCTCGACACCATCCGCTCATTGGAAAAAGGAATCGTTGTGGCCAATGGGTCCCACATGAATTACCCCCTGAAAACAAAGCCAATCGAGTTTTATTGTCTCGGATTCTATTGAAAAAGGCTACCGGCAGTGCTTTTTTTTGAAAGCATGTTGACGATGGGCGAAAAGTGGACCTATTTCAATAATAAAACACGCAAAAAAATGGTATAGAAAAAAAGAATAAAAAAGGGAGCGCACAACTGACTCAAAACAAAGCTTAAATAATGGTTTTTTTAAGTACACAAGCTACTCCAAAGCGGACAACTGAATATCGTCTAGTGGCTGATTACGGTAGTTTATCCATCAACTTTGAATTTTAACTTGTGCATTGAATTTTGATTGACTGCGGAGCAGTGGCAATTCGCCACATACATTAATCATAATTTGTATGCAATTTCAGACGTTGAGTGACTTCGAAATGTGATCGAAAATCGATATGGAATTCTTTTTTTTTATTCTTCACACTTCTCCATCCTTGCGCGCTCAACTGGTCATAATTTCGTATCAATTTCGATCATAGAAATGTTACTTTCTTTTAAATCTACTTCATTTAATCCATCAAAATCATTTAGTGCTATTTCTTTTTAAAAACTATTCTCTGTAATCTTTTTTCATCTTTATTATAAAGCTTTTAGATCAATAAATTGTTAATCAAAAGCGAAAAAGAAAAAAATTTACGAAAGAAATTTTTTGAAGAACTTTTATTGTTTTATTTTATTTTTTAAAAAAAAGAAAGTTATCTTGAGAATTACAAATTGTAAAATTCAAATTTTAAAACTATTCTTGAAATTAGTTGCATCAATTCGTGCTTCTCTCCATTTTCGACGTTTTTACGTGAACCAAAATCTTTGGCTCTTTTCGACCTAAAGATTTATTCTTGATTTGAGTCGCTTTCTTGAGTTTTCTAAAAAGTGCTTAGAATTACCGTAATCCAAGAGTAATTTTGAGTGTTTGAGGTAGATGAGAATTTGATAAAGTAATGAAATGGATGGCAAAGAAATTGGGAATCAAGGAGAATCAAGGGGATGAGCTATCGGCGCCTTAAGTTTAGAAGGTAAAGATCGGTCAAAAGTCTGACTGCTGATCATTTTTTTGTCTCACATCGGCTGAACAGTAAAATGCGGTTAGTCAGACTAAAGTACAGCAAAATCTACGAGACTCATTTGTTTATATTGGGTTTTCCAGTTATGAATGCGTGTTTTTACTATTTTGTAAATTTCTCAAGATACCGAAATCAAGAAAAAGATATATATGAGTATTATTCGAAAGCTGAAGATCTCCTCTACATTTTGATGTAAAAGTTTTTGAATTTGCTCAGCTTTTGGGCAAATTGACTGCACAGAAGAAGGAGTGGCCAAAAAATGGAAGGGTGCCTTTGGATCAAGTTTTGGTTCCGCTCAAATTGAGTTAACCGTTTGATGTTTGGCCAATAGAGATATCAATACAACTTTTTTTAAAAAATATACCAATTTCAGAGCATCTTTACTTTTCTTTTCTTTTCTGGGCGGTTATTTTTACACCATAAAACTTGAGGAATAGCTAAGCTGAAATGGGTTTTTTTTTGAAAACGACCTCTCCCTTTGTGCAGTCAATTTCCCAAAAAGTTGAATGAATTCAAAAAGTTTTTTATTCCAAAATGTAGAGGAGATCTTGAACTTTCGAATGATATATAACACTCATATAAATCTGTTCGATATCTTGAGAAATTTACAAAATAGTAAAAACGCGCATTCATAACTGGACAACCCAATATTTTATCAAGACCGTTTCCCAGATCCAAGAACCTTTTTAGCCTGTTCTACTTGATAAATACTGTAAAAATTCGAAAAAAGAACCAAACTCTTCTATTTTTCAATTCTCAATCGATTTTCATCCAAAAATCCCCCCAAAAATCCCTCAAAAAATCCCTCAAAAATCCTTTTTCGTGCCTAGCCCTAGTACCCAAATTTTCAAGAGCTCAAAAATCAGGGTTTTTGTTCGATTTTTATCCGCTTTTCATTCTTTTACCGCTTTTAAGCTATAAATATTATTTAAAGCCTTTGAAAATCTTGAAAAAGTTGAACATTTTGCTTTCGGAAAACTGAAAAATCCGAAACAAATGAAAAATTCCGTCTAAATGAGGCTCTTCAATACGAAATAAATACGATACTCGTCTCGTAGATTTAGTTGCCTTTTAGATTTTGCTGACCGCTGACGTAGACTTTAGTCTGAATAACCGCATTTTACTGTTCAACCGATCTGGCACAAAAAAATGAGCAGAAGTCAGGCTTTGACCGATTTCTACCTTCTAAACTTAAGGCGCCGATAGCTCAGTGCATCTGCACGGTAAACGGAATTGTTTAATTCCCTTGGGTTTGATTGTTGATTGTTTAATTCCCCTTGATTCCCAATTTCTTTACCATTCATTTCATTACTTGATTAAATTATCATCTACCTATACACTCAAACTTACTCTTGGATTACGGTAATTCAATCCAATCCAATTCAATTCAATTCGATTCGATTCAATTCAATTCAATCCAATTCAATTCAATTCAATTCGATCCAATTCAATTCAATTCAATTCAATTCAATTCAATCCAATTCAATTCAATCCACTCACAGCTGATCAAATTCGTGAAATAACATCGATACGGCTTATAGACAGACATTGTCGTTATCGTGAAAACAAGACCATAGAAAGTCTGGAAGAAATTGCCGAACTCGTTGATCACTGAAATTTCAATGTTAAAGTCCCTAGTTGAAGTTAGAGTTATCCTCGATTTTCAAAGTTTCGTTTCACTTAATAGAGACTTTAACGATCAAGAATACAAACTTATCGAATCCGCGAAATACAAGGAGATCATCCGGGCGATAACCGGAATCCCAATGATGCAAATGGGAAGTGAAAACTGAAAAGCTTATCCATTATGAAAGTTTTTCTTGATTTCGTTTCACTCAGAGAATTCAGAGATTTTCCTGCGCTCACCTGTATGAGGCAATTCTTCAAAAACATTTTCTGCTTTGATGCGGTCGCCGTTGAAACAATAGCGTTGACTTTCAGCGAATCAAAGTATTTCTTGGCCACAAAAAGAAGTATAAACAAGCATAGATTTCCAATGCACATAAATAACAAAGTACCTGGAAGAGAGATTCATCAGATTCAGATTCGATCTTTACAAAAATTTGAAAAATATTACTCTAAGATGGGCTAAAAGTCTAGTTCTGGCTTTACAGCTTTACAGAAAGGCTGGCTTTACAGAAAGAATTGAAAAAGGTTTCTTTGGATCTTGAATTGCTTGAATTTGGAAGCTTGATCTTGGAAAAACTGAAGAACTTTCAGATTATTCAATTGGAACAAAAGATATTCAGTTTTCGAGTTTATTGTGATGAAACGACTACAGTAATCTTGTTGTTTAAATCAACAAAAAAAAGCACCTCCATTCAGCAATGCGCTGAAGAAAAATCGCAAGAGAATCACGTGTTTTATTGGATCGATTTCAACTTGAGTCTGAATTTGATCAAGATCAAGATTCGGTTTTCACTTTTTACCCCTCGATCCACGCACACTGGGATCCCTGTTTCACAAAGTAAAAAAATGCCATTGAGAAATGTAATCCAAAGCACGATTCTGAAAGCTAATAGCTTTAAATGATAAAATCTTTACCGTAAAACAATGCGCTTTCGATCATCTTCCGGGAGAATTCTTCGAAGAGCACCAATGAACAATGAATGAAGAGATACGGACATCACGGATGCGGATAAGAAGAGCAAAACCTAGAGAACTGGCAGGCTTTCATGAAAAAGACAAAAGCCATGGTAGCCAAGACGAAAATCTAAGCCAAGCCAAGACGAAAATCAATGCTTGGCTCTGTCTTGGCCTGGAAAATCGATGATACTACGCCGGTTATCGGCACTTTTTTGGGGTAATTTTCAACGTTGATTCCGAATTTCAACATCTTAAGTTAGTAAATAAGTTTTAATCGCAGAAAAGTCATTTCTGGAGATCCAAATCGCCTCTCCGAACATTTCTTGGTGTTGGCGAAAAAGATGACTATATTTTTCGACTTTTTAAATGTATCAAAGCCTTTGCCTTGGCCTGGAAAATCGGTGGTATTACGCCGGTTAGCGGCACTTTTTTGGGGTAACTTTTTGGGCTACTCAAGTGCTGGATTACCCATCAAGTGATTGTCACTTACAGAAACAATTCCTCAGCTTCGTATTCTATTAAATCATGTTGTTAGGCTTTCAAATTTTGAATTTTTTAAAGAAATCAGTTTTTGTGAGCTGTGATCACCCTCACTCACTGTTTGAATCCGAACGTCGACCATCAAAATGCTGAGCACACCAACAAATCGAAGAGACAATTCCCCATGAGTGACAGTGATTCGATTTGCGCAAAAGAGCCCGAAAATGAGATCGAGAAAAATCGAGCCTGACTGGAAAATTGGAAATTAAAAGCAAATAAAGTAGACAAGGCGGTCCATAAAAAAGGTGGGTCATGAAAATGCCGCGGTAATTCCAGCTGTCATTATTGCTGCGGTTAAAAAGCTCGTAGTTGGATCTGAGCCTTTGGATACGGTTCACCTCTGTGTGATACTGGATCCGGGGTTAAATTCGTCGGTTCTCCGGCGAGAGTCACTCTGAATAAATCAGAGTGCTCAAAACAAGCGTTTCGCTTGAATGTTTTTGCATGGAATAATGGAAAAGGACTTCGGCTTCTTACTGTTGGTTTCGGAATTGGATTAATGATTAAGAGGGACCAACGGGGGCATGCGTACCGCTACGCGAGAGGTGAAATTCATGGACCGTAGCGTGACGAACTAAAGCGAAAGCATTTGCCAAGAATGTCTTCATTAATCAAGAACGAAAGTCAGAGGTTCGAAGGAGTTCGAAGGCGAGTTTTTTGTGCTGAGTTTTGATGGCAGAATTGGGTTCAGGATTGGTTTTTTCCTCAGGGGTTACACATTGGCACAAAGTTGGTTTTTTTTTTGAGAATTTAATGTATTGAGTGGAGACCAAAATTCATGTACATGTATTACATGAATTTGAAATTTTTATTTTCACTATTTCATCTTAAAACTTAAAACACATTGGCACAATGTTGGCTTTTTTTTTTTGAGAATTTAATGAAATAGGGCTTATATATTGAGTGGAGACCAAAATTCATGTATACCTATACTATTTTACCATAAAACTTTTCAATTTTTATTTTCTTTACTTTATTTTCGCCTATTTAATACTTACATTGTATTTTCAGAGGGCATTTTTCCATCGCCCATTTCAGAAATCTCGAAAATAGTTGGGTTTTCAGGGCGAAAAACCATCTGTAGCTTTTTTTCTAGCGTCAGAAAGAAAACCATCTTTTTGCTAGTGCCTTATTTTTTACTAGATACACATTATACTCGAATCCGAGCTATATCCATGAAAGTTGAGCTTTGATCGATTTTTCAGATGATGAATTTGATCATCTTCAGCTTCTTATACAGCAAATACGGTAACCGTTTTTAATGGGTGCAATTTATGTGCCCCGTAGTTTAATCTCAACGAACACGATGCGCTACATGGCTCTGCGCTCGGGATAACGCCGAAGCTGCGACTAAGCGAACAAAATGCTGCTTAAACCTGGCAGATCGGACGGGATGCCGCATTTCAAACTGGCCAGAACGTAAACGTAAACACTGGGATCTTCTTCCATCGTGAAATCGTGAAAACTCACATGTGCAAAAGCGATATATCTCGCTTGAATCCTCATCTCTTTCGGCGCTTTGAACAAAATGATAAAAATAAAGAAAATGTTTATAATCGAGCAAATACCTGAAAATTTCAGTAGTCAGTTTTGCTCGGCTGAATATTTTTATAGAATTGTCGAAGGTTTACAGTCACTTAAAGTTATTATAAACTCTTTTAGTTTATACTTTAGACTCATTTAACTATTTCTATTTAACTATTGGGTTGGTGAATTGAAAACTGCGGGCTATTGTCATATGTGACTGTTTGAGCACTTTCTTCAAAAGAAACCCATTTTGGGGTCAATGGAAAAGTTGTAGAGAATCAAAAATCAAGCTTATATCCAAATTTTCAGAACGATTCAAAAACTGGTTTTCAAGAAATGCCAAATTTACGAATTTTCACAAAACTTGCATTTTAAGCGAAACTACTAAGTGTATCTTTTTTGGAAATTTGGCTATAAGCCTAATTTTTGATTCTCTACAACTTTTCTATTGACACCAAGGTGGGTTTCTTTTGAAGAAAGTGCTCAAACTGGGGCATCTCCAGTCCTCGATTTTTGAGTCTCACACTTGTCTCAGACACAAACCAAAATCCTACTACGAAAGAGGAATCCGCAAATTGCCTGTAAAATGGGCAGAAGTCGTCAATAATAATGGAAATTATTTGGAATGAATTGATGGTTTTATGTTCAATAAATTTTAGTTCAAAGTCCCGCAGTTTTCACCAACCCAATAAAAGAGGAAATCTGTTAGAGAATTTACTTTTTATCTAAATAATAACTAATAACATGTTGCAAAATTGACTCGCTCTAAAATAAACAGCCTTAGTTGGGAACTTTCGGCGCATCCCCCATTCAGTCCGGACCTCGCCCCTTCTGATTACTATTTATTCCGGATCATGAGTAATGAGCTTTCGGGAGGACACTTCGATCCGGAAGAAGCAGTCAAAAATTGGCTTTGAAAGTTTTTCGATTCAAAACCAAAATCCTACCACGAAAGAGGAATCCGCAAATTGCCTGTAAAATGGGCAGAAGTCGTCAATAATAATGGAAATTATTTGGAATGAATTGAGGGTTGTTGTTATGTTGAATAAATTTTGGTTCAAAGTCCCGCAGTTTTCAACTCACCAACCCAATATTTAACTAATTAGACTTATTTAAACCTTTCAGAATTACCCGTTGTATAGTAGGCGATTTTGATTAAACCCAATGGATCAAATTCATCGATATTGGACATTGTAAAAGCTGAATCAAAAGCTATTACAATAAAATATTACTTTTAAAAGAAAAGTAAACTCAGGAGAAATTTTTGAGGAGAAATAAATGACCGTTTTGATCGGTGAAATGGTCAGGCGGGCGACGCCGAACAAATCTCATTTGCACAAAAAAAACGCCAAAAAAACACTCCTACACAGACATTTAGTCAGAGTTTTGTGATTTTTGACCACATTTGAAAAGAATTCAAACCAAGAATGAAAATCATTCAAGCACTTTGCCAATGAAACACAAAACAAATCACATTTTAGAATCATACCCACATTTCACTATTTCCCGATTGAAATCTATTGAACTATTGAACTATTTCACTATTTCACTATTGAAATCTCACCTGAAACTCTTAAAATAAGATTCATTGCTATACAGTCATGAGCAAAAGTATTCACCCCTCCTATTGTTGAAGTTTAAAACGGAAAATTTTTGAATGAAAATTGAAATAAAGATTTGCGAAGTGAGTATGAAGGCTTTTATATATGTGCTTTATTCATGGGGCGAATAGAAGCGAATCAGATATTCATAACTGCATATAACATATTGCTACAATACTCTCACCGAAAAAAGAGAAAAAACTAAAGATAGTAGAGTAAGAGTACAATTAGGAAACACAGATACAAAAAAGATTAAATATAGGGCAGATTTGACATGGCAATAAGATCTAATTCGTTCACAGATACTTTCAATTTTCCTACAGACGAGAAGATACCAGACGGGAGCTGATTCCAAGTCCAAGACAGGAGCTTATTCCAAGTCCAAGACAGGAGCTGATTCCAAGTCCAAGACAGGAGCTGATTTCAAGTCCAAGACGGGAGCTTATTCCAAACCCTACTAATACGGTTCGCAAAAGAATGATAAAGGGAAAGATGATGGGGATGAGAACCGACCGAAATTTGATAAGGATGACTACGTGAACTTCTATAAATTTCTACAATTTTCAAGAGGCTTTGAAATTCTGGATGTGACTTAGGGTGGAAAAGAATTTTATAGCAAAAATAAGATCAAAGTAAATA